CCCAACCAGGCTGTTCCACCGCATATTCATCAGCGTCAACACAGCGTCAGGCGTGCTCGCAGTCACCTCAGCACCGCCAGGAGCAACACCAGCACCAGTGCTACCAGTGGGGCCAGCAGCAGCAGCAAAGGTAGTGGCAGAGGCAGCAGCAGCAGCAGCAGCAGCGGTAGAGGGGCAGCGGCAGCAGCTGCAGCAGCAGCAGCAGCAGCAGCAGCCGCAGCAGCCGCAGCAGCAGCAGCAGGGGTAGTGGCAGGGGCAGCAGGGGAGGGCGTGCAGGTGGCAGTGGCGGGGGACGTGGGGCAGTTGAAGGGAGTTGAGCTTGTGTGGTCACTGGCCCTGCGCTGCCCCTCTGCAGCCATCTGGCAGCCCTGCATTCAGCTGCTGAGAGACCTGCACTCGTCACTTGTCGCCCCAGAAAAGGTGTGTGCTCCTCATTCTGCTACATACAGTCACGGCCTTTTTTGAGAGTTCTCAAAAGTGACTCCCAGTCACGGTCTTGCTTGCTCTATGGTATCGCATCACTGGAGATTGTGTTGCTGGCCCTGCGCTGCTCCTCTGCAGCCATCTGGCAGCCCTGCATTCACCTACTCAGGGACCTGCACTGCACTCCTCGCATGTAGCCCCCGGAGAGGAGAAGGTAAACAAACATCTGCCACCATGCAGGAGTGCTAGTGGCAGTGCTTCAAAAGCGGGTGCATGTACCGTACTGCCGTGCTGCTGCAATGCAGCAGCTGGAGGGAGCGAAAGGGGGTGGCGCAGGGCCAGTGCATCGTGAACCTATTTCCCCCTCTCCTTCCATACTCTCACTTCCCCCCCTTTCTCAACTACTGCCCCCCTCCCCCTCCCTCCAGGCCAAGCTGGTGGCGGTGCGGCAGAGCTTCATAGGCGAGTGCATGCTCTCCCCTCCCTTCCTCCCCAGTCCCCACCTACCTAAATTTCCCCTTACCCCTTCCTCCCCAACTTCTCCTGTTTTCCAGGCCAAGCTAGTTGCGGTGCGGCAGAGCTTCATAAGCGAGTGCATGCAGCGCCTTGCTGCTGCGATGCGGCAGCTGGAGGAAGGGAGGGGCAGGGGAGAGGGCAGCTAGGGGACATACCTGGTGCCTCATTGCTTCATGAAATCCCCCTTCTTTCTGTCCCCACATCGTCCCCCTCTCGTACCTGGCCCTCTCCAGGCCAAGCTAGTGGCGGTGCGGCAGAGCTTCATAGGCGAGTGCATGCGGCGCCTTGCCGCTGCGATGCGGCAGCTGGAGGAAGGGACAAGTGCGGAACATAACAGGCAGAATCTGGGAGGGCAGAATGGGGGCATAGAAGGGAGAAGCGCAGGAGGAGTGGCGGCAACTGGGAGGGATGCTCTGCCCATGGAGACGAGTGCGGAGGAGAGTGACGGTGGGGAGAGGACGGGTGAAGCGAGGATTGATGATGGGAGGGATGGCGGTGGTGATGTGGCCATGGCTGGGCAGGAGGACGAGGGTAAAGTGGAAGCGAGGGAGCAGGAGAGGGAGTGCGGGGGCGCAGAGATGAGTGGCCAAGGTACCACCAGGGGTGGTAAGGGTGGCAGGAACAGCAAGGGTGGCAGCAGCTTGGAAGGGCAGGCGTCAGCAGAGGAGCAAGCACAACGATGCCTCTTGCTCTTGACAGTAAGTTCGTCTTGAGACATCTCAAAGCACACACTTTGCCTCTTGCTCGTGACACTAAGTGCGAGGGCAGCACATATTTGCGTTGGGTGAGTTAGAATGGCTGAACAACTAGCAAGTGTGCAAGAAAAGACACACCTTTCATACACATGCACACCTACAAGTTACATCTCGGACCGGACCACATGCACTGCTCGTCTACCAACAGGTCCACTCATGGTACATTCTATCAGGCAGGCGGTCAGAGCCGCTGTTCTCCTCCCATTGCATCGTCACCTCCTCTATGCCCCATGCCCCTCTCCCCCCCACTTCCCCTCCCAGCAATTCCTCACGCGCTGTGAGGCCTCCTGCCAACGCAAAGTGCCGCCCCATGGCGCCTCCTACCAGGGCAGGCCGTTTCAGCTGGAGGTGAGATCTGAGGCAGGCCGTTTCAGGTGGAGGTGAGATCTGAGGCAGGCCGTTTCAGCTGGAGGTGAGATCTGAGACAGGCCATTTCAGTTTGGGGTTGAACAAGTGAAAGTATTAATAAAACCTAGTGGTGGCGTTTGTAATATAACATTTTTTATTTGTGCATACACCTTAGTGCTTCTATCTTCCCTTCGACAAGGCATGATGCATGCATGCTAATTCAATTCTGTACCACCACATATTTCACAATCTATCGATATCTAATCATTCTAAATTTACCGGTGTTCACGTGCCATGTTTTGAACGGGTTCGTAGTTTTTTCCCAGACCTTGCCTGGGGCGGACCACAGCAAGAGCGTATCAACCTCTTCGTTTATGTCCCATCTCCCACCCCACCCCATCCCATCCCATCCCATCCCATCCCATCCCATCCCATCCCATCCCATCCCATCCCATCCCATCCCATCCCATCCCATCCCATCTCATCCCATCCCATTCCACCCCACCCCACTTCACCCCACCCCATCCCATCCCATCCCATCCCATCCCATCCCATCCCATCCCATCCCATCCCATCCCATCCCATCCCATCCCATCCCATCCCATCCCATCCCATCCCATCCCATCCCATCCCATCCCATCCCATCCCATTCCATCCCATCCCATCCCATCCCATCCCATCCCATCCCATCCCATCCCATCCCATCCCATCCCATCCCATCCCATCCCATCCCATCCCATCCCATCCCATCCCATCCCATCCCATCCCACCCCACCCCCCCCACCCACCCCATCCCATCCCATCCCATCCCATCCCATCCCATCCCATCCCATCCCATCCCATCCCATCCCATCCCATCCCATCCCATCCCATCCCATCCCATCCCATCCCATCCCACCCCACCCCATCCCATCCCATCCCATCCCATCCCATCCCATCTCATCCCATCCCATTCCACCCCACCCCACTTCACCCCACCCCATCCCATCCCATCCCATCCCATCCCATCCCATCCCATCCCATCCCATCCCATCTCATCCCACCGCATCCCATCCTGCCATCAAGCAGGTGACAGTGGCGCACAGCAAGCATGTGAACTTCTTCGTTCATGTCCTGTCCCATCCACCAAATCTCTTCTTATCCCACCGCATTCCACCACATTCCACCACACCCCATCCCATCCCACCACATCCCATCACAAGCAGGTGACAGTAGCGCACAGCAAACACGTGAACTTCTTTGTTCACACGCACGCGAACGAGTACCTGCGCTTGCTGCGGCTCAAGGTGGGCTACAACATACATATCCATACATAAACGTCTGTTTGATATATATATACATATATATATATATATATATATATATTTATATTTATATGTATATGCGTATGTATATGTATATTTTTGAGTTTTTTTTTCCTCCTAGTGGATTTCTTTGCTCTGTTGTTTTCCTGATCCCCCTTCTCTCAGCTTGCTATAACCATTGCCCTGACTTGCGTTGACCTTCTTTGACTTGCCAGGTGGCCCGCAAGCTCGAGTGTGACGTGGCACGTGTGAGGCTGCTATTGGACGGTCATGAGCTGCTCTCTGATTGGCTCGTGCTCCGCCAATGTGGGATCGCGGACGGACGGCGACTTATTGCTTCCGTCATGGTGTGTTTGTGACTGTAACTAACATCGTTTCTTGGTTATTTCTGAGCCGCCTAAAGTTTGTACGTGGTGATTGTAACGGAGGTGCCCTTTGGTGTGACAGCAGTTCCGTTCTCTTACTTTCCTTCTGACTCTACCCACCATGTTCTTCATCACAACCCTCCAACCCTCTTCTCCGTCTTTTCCTCCCTTGCCATGCTCTCCCTCTCGCCAGCTGAACCCCCGGCCTCGCAGCAGGCAGCAAGGAGAGGGAGGAGAGGCGGAACTTCCAGGAGTGCTCATGGCTCGGCAGGGGGAGGTGGGTGGGTCAAGGGGAAGGTGGGAGGGAAGGGAGGAATAAGGGGAGCGAGACGAGTAGAGGGGAATGGAGGAGGGGCAGGGAAGAAGAGAGGGGGAGGCGGAGCTTCCGTTCCAGGGGTGCTCATGGCTCAGCAGGGGGAGGTGTGGTTGGGTTGGGGAGGTGGGGTCTGAAGGAGGATGGAATAGAGTGAGGAAAGTTGAAAGGGGAGCAGGGAGTGGCAGGGCTATGGGGTCTGGTGGACCGTGCGGAAAAGAGGGGGGACGAGGAATGAATTTCTATCATTTTAGTTTAGTGATTACCCTTCTTGTTTATTGTTAGCTTTCACCTTGTTGTCCTTGCACCTTCATTATTCCGGGTCTGTTGTTGGGAACCATACTCTTGCCTGGCAGGTTTATGGAACTCTCTTCCAACTGCTTCAGTCTGCCAACCATCAAGTGCAGCAGGTCCGTCTTCTTCCTCCTCCTCCTCCTCCTCCTCCTCCTCCTCCTCCTCCTCCTCCTCCTCCTCCTCCTCCTCCTCCTCCTCCTCCTCCTCCTCCTCCTCCTCCATCACGCCCTGTCAATCCTTAGCCGACAACTGCGTGCTATCCTGACTAACTGTCGTTCACTGCTGCCTTCTTGCCGTTGTTAGCAACGCTGTTTCACCATGCTCGTGTGTTCTTCACCATTTCGAGGCATGTTAAAACTCCTTTGAAGCGACAGCAAAAGGGCGATCTTTACTGTTCTATCGCCCTTCTTCGCATGCTGCTGGGTCTTAGAGGGTTTGACGAACGCCATCTCCCTTCCTTCCCCTGCTTTCCATTCTTTTCCCGATTTTTGAGTGGACTAAAAAAATATATATTTCTTCCCCTGCCTCTCTGCATGCCAGGCAGCGGACGAGCTCCTGATGCTGCTGCCAACACACCGCGCCATTCTCGACGATTTCATGGTCAGACGCAAAGTCGCACAATCCAAAATCCCAGTCTTCTCAGTTCTAATTCTGCTCAGATCTTAACTGCACCTGCATCCGCATGGGCCTAGGGTTAGCTGACGGTAACAGCAGCATACACAACAGCACAGCACACCAGGTCGCAATCACCGGGCCTCTCCCATGCGGTCTTTTCCCCCATTTTCAATAATTCCGGAATCTCTTTTGTCTCATCATCTCCCTCTTTTCGTGTTCTCTCTCTCTCACCCGTGACTGAATGCGACCTCCCCTGCAGAGCATCCAATCAGCGCCATCAGCAGCCGAGGCTGCTGCCATTCTGGCGCGCCTCCTGCACCCCTCGCCACACCTTGTTTATACGCTTCAGGTGGTTTGGGTTTCGGGGTTTGAGGGTTTAGTGCGATTGCCGGGCACACTGCTGCAGGTGATCGCCATGCTTCGTCTCTTGCCGGCTCCCATCCGTTTCCCATATTTCTCCAATGCATCCAGCACCCCAATCCATCATCTTTCCATCCACCCATCTGTCCCATGTGCCCATGTGCCCCCTTGTGGATGCATGCTATCCACCCACCAGGTGCTGGACGGGCTATTGCTGCCTGTCAATCGCCCACCCTCTCCTGCCACCACTCGCTTCCGAGCGAGCTTTCTCCAGTCCAATGGCTTCAGGTGAGCAGTTTGAAAGTGTTGACCACGTCGACTATATTGTCTGTGTTGACTGCACTGTGATTCCATTGACTGCAGTGACTGCATTGACTACAGTGACCACGTTGACTGCTTAGTGACCGCGGAGACGGCGTTGACTGTGCGGTGACTGCAGTGACGGGGTAATTGTGTCGACTGCGTTGACTGCATTGTTGACTGCACTGTTGACTGCATTGTTGACTGCATTGTTGACTGCATTGTTGACTGCATTGTTGACTGCATTGTTGACTGCCCCAACGGATTTACGACATTCCGAGGGTTTCAGCCATGATTGTTTTTCATGCCTTCATGCCCTTTTGCCAGCCTGCAGCATCCTAGCCTTTCAACAACCGACCATCTCTTTTCGACATTCTCCTTGCCACTTCCTGCTGCCCCCTTACCGCATTCCACGCCCTCCCGTTCCTCCTTCCGCAGTGCCCTCATGTTGGCCTTTCAGCCCCAAGCCCTGCCACCTGCAGCGGATGACAGCACAAGGCGGAAGTGCTACATGAGCGCCCTGCACATCCTCAAGCTCATGGTCAGTACAGTACCCTTCTGTGTTTTGACACGTCTCAAAAAACCAAGCTCATGGTCAGTACCCTTCTGCACTTGCTGTGTGACGTTTTTGTGTTTTGTCATGTCACTTCCTCCAAGTCAACGCAAGTTGCTACATGCGTGCCCTGCCGCACACTCTGAAGCTCATTGCTAGTGCCCTGCCGCACACTCTGAAGCTCATTGCTAGTGCCCTGCCGCACACTCTGAAGCTCATTGCTAGTGCCCTGCCGCACACTCTGAAGCTCATTGCTAGTGCCCTGCCGCACACTCTGAAGCTCATTGCTAGTGCCCTGCCGCACACTCTGAAGCTCATTGCTAGTGCCCTGCCGCACACTCTGAAGCTCATTGCTAGTGCCCTGCCGCACACTCTGAAGCTCATTGCTAGTGCCCTGCCGCACACTCTGAAGCTCATTGCTAGTGCCCTGCCGCACACTCTGAAGCTCATTGCTAGTGCCCTGCCGCACACTCTGAAGCTCATTGCTAGTGCCCTGCCGCACACTCTGAAGCTCATTGCTAGTGCCCTGCCGCACACTCTGAAGCTCATTGCTAGTGCCCTGCCGCACACTCTGAAGCTCATTGCTAGTGCCCTGCCGCACACTCTGAAGCTCATTGCTAGTGCCCTGCCGCACACTCTGAAGCTCATTGCTAGTGCCCTGCCGCACACTCTGAAGCTCATTGCTAGTGCCCTGCCGCACACTCTGAAGCTCATTGCTAGTGCCCTGCCGCACACTCTGAAGCTCATTTCTAGTGCCCTGCCGCACACTCTGAAGCTCATTGCTAGTGCCCTGCCGCACACTCTGAAGCTCATTGCTAGTGCTCTGCCGCACACTCTGAAGCTCATTGCTAGTGCCCTGCCGCACACTCTGAAGCTCATTGCTAGTGCCCTGCCGCACACTCTGAAGCTCATTGCTAGTGCCCTGCCGCACACTCTGAAGCTCATTGCTAGTGCCCTGCCGCACACTCTGAAGCTCATTGCTAGTGCCCTGCCGCACACTCTGAAGCTCATTGCTAGTGCCCTGCCGCACACTCTGAAGCTCATTGCTAGTGCCCTGCCGCACACTCTGAAGCTCATTGCTAGTGCCCTGCCGCACACTCTGAAGCTCATTGCTAGTACCCTGCCGCACACTCTGAAGCTCATTGCTAGTGCCCTGCCGCACACTCTGAAGCTCATTGCTAGTGCCCTGCCGCACACTCTGAAGCTCATTGCTAGTGCCCTGCCGCACACTCTGAAGCTCATTGCTAGTGCCCTGCCGCACACTCTGAAGCTCATTGCTAGTGCCCTGCCTGCTCGCCCTGTGCCTTTTTAGTAAACTCAAAGTTCACTTCCGAGTCGGCTTTTAAAGCACAAGGCAAGGCACAGTTGACTCTTCCAGCCGCCCAGAGGCACCGGACCTCTGGGAAGCAGGGAGCAGAGAGCAGCAGCTAGCATCTTATGAGGCGCCTCAGCTGTTTGGCGATCGCCATGGCGCCTCCAGCTCAGCAGCAGGCCTTTGGAATGAGGAAGGTGGCGACAAGGAGCAGGTGCCAGCCAGGCGCCTCAAGAACCCATTTTATCCCACCCAAACTGGCATCTTGAGAAGAACTCAACATCTCTTACCTTCTCCTCAAACCCCACCTACCCTTTTTTTTTTTTTTTTCTTTTCTTTTCTCAAGATCTCTTTTTTTTTTTTTTCTCCTCAAACCCCACCCACCCTTTCTCTCAGCTGTTTGGCGATCGTTTTGGTGCCTCCAGCGCAGCTCCAGATCTCTGGGAGGAGTGGGAGGAGGAAGGCCGCGACAAGGAGCACATGCCAGAGCCCTTTTGAGGCACCTAAACACTCTTCACTTTTTCCTCAACCCACTCCCTTTCTCTCAGCTGTTTGGCGATCATTTTGGTGCCTCCAGCACAGCACCAGATCTTTGGGAGGAGTGGGAGGAGGAAGGCCGTGACAAGGAGCACATGCCAGAGCCCTTTTGAGGCACCTAAACACTCTTCACTTTTTCCTCAACGCACTCCCTTTCTCTCAGCTGTTTGGCGATCATTTTGGTGCCTCCAGCACAGCACCAGATCTTTGGGAGGAGTGGGAGGAGGAAGGCCGCAACAAGGAGCACATGTCAGACGCCTCTTGAGGCGCCCAAATACTCGTCGCATTCTCCTCAACCCACTCCCTGTCTGTCAGTTGTTTGGCGATCGCATCGGTACCCCCCGACCAGCACTGGACCTCTGGGAGGACTGGGAGGAGGAAGGCAGCGACAAGGAGCAGCTACTTGACGCCTTATGAGGCACCTGACCTGAGTATCCATCCATCCGTACCCTTTCTTCAAAACCCACCCACTCAGTTGTTTGGCGATCGTTTCGGCGCCCCCAACACAGCAGTGGATGTTTGGGAGGACTGGGAGGAGGAAGGCAGCGACGAGGAGCAACTGGCAGACGCGGCATACATGGCCGCTGCAGCGGGCACTGTAGCAAGCACTATAGAGAGTATCGTGGGGAGCACTGTATCGCGTACAGTGCCAGTGGCGGCCGCCCCTCTCCTTGCCACGGCACCTGGCGATTCGTTTGAGCCAACCTGCCTCATCCGGTGAGTGAGTTTCGATTTTATTTGACTCGGAAAAACATATTATTTTGTTGTGCCGTCTTCGGTACAGCTGCCGACCGCTACTCGACCTCTCTTGTCTTCGTTCTTTAATGTGGTAAGTGGTGTACTGCTGAACAGCAAATAATCGCTTTTGAGCTGAATAAATCAGGGATTGTTCTTTGCTAATTTTAATGCGTTTATTCAATCAGCTCTTCTATTCTCCTTTGGCCTTTGCTGGGGTGAATTCTGGTTCGTACTGACCAGGAGTCCTTTTTTGTTTTGTGGAAGCCAAGTTGTCACATCTGGTGAGGTGGTGATCTCCTATAAAACCTCTCCCTGTCCGTGTGTCACTGTGTGTGTCTTTGATTTTTGAGAATTCTCAAAAATCATCTGGTGAGGTGGTGATCTCCTATAAAACCTCTCCCTGTCCGTGTGTCACTGTGTGTGCCTTTGATGGTGTTTCCTGCAGGGCGGATGGCAGAGTGGTGGTGGCGGAAGCAAAGAGGGTGGGTGAGGGCATGGACGAGGGGGAGGACGAGGACGTGGAGGTACAGGACATCATTCTAGATAACGGCGGACTCACTGTAGATACTTGTGAAAATACTGCCAATAAAGGGGTAGTTCATAGCGAGGACGCCTCAGCTCCTCAGCTTCCTGCAGCAGGTGCTGCTGGGGCAGCACAAGCACCACCGCAGCAAGCAGCGACACATGCAGCTGCGTCAGACTCTCCAGCAGCGGCGATGGCAGTCGCTGTGCCAGCAGCAGCAGCGGCCCCTGTGCCTGAAAGGGATGTGCCACCATTTGTAGCAGTAAGTCCCATTCCTCACTGCTCTCTCCCAGCTTCATCACCACTCTGCTACATCAGTCTGCTTTCTTTGATGCACCTCATTTCTGTCTCATGCGTTTTGTTTCTTGAGGCGTCTCTGAAGTTCCGATGCATCCTCAGTTCTGTCTCGTATGTTTTGTTCCTTGCACAGGGTGAGACAAAATTGATTTCCTCTCCCTACCGCACTCACAGATCATGGATGCGCCATCAACTCTGCTGCCGGCTGATTGGTCAGAGCTCACCAATACCATCATGATGCTCGCCTGGTCGGCATCGATCGGCTCTTTGCAGGCCATGGCGTTACCCAATCCGCATGCCTTTGATACCGCAGCAGCTGTTGCTGTAAGTGGATAGCACAAGATGTATGTATGTATGTGTGCACAAGGGAAGGGACATTTTACCATGCAAAGCTGCATTTTTGCATGCCTTTATGAGTTGACCCATCCATACCATACATACATCTGCATGTTAAATTGTCCTTTTGTGCTCGTGCAAGACAATTTCTGAGGCGCCTAGAAAATTATCTGCATGCTAAATTGTCCTCTTGTGCTCATCAAAGTCATGTCCTTGCAATCCATACGTCATGCGTATATCATCCATGTATCATGCATGCAGCATACATCGTGCATACATCATGCATACATCGTGCATACATCATGCATACATCATGCATACATCATGCATACATCGTGCGTACATCACGCATATACTATCTCTACGCATCCTGCGGCATGTGCAACCCACACCTTCTAAGACCCTTGCGGATTTGCTGCTCCCTGACTCACATACAAAGCTCTCTCCCCTCCCACTCATCCCCGTTTCCGCATATCTCCCATCTCTTCTCTCCCGTTGCTTGCTTCCACCATCGCCCCCACCAGGCGGTGCAGGCTGGGGTCAAGCGGCGGGTGGAGCAGGCCGGCTTGGGGAAGTCAGGAGGGGAGGAGAGCGATGAATCAGATGAGGAGGATGAGGAGGAGGATGAGGAGGATGGGGATGGGGCGGATTCACCGTTGCATCCTGATGATGCGTGCCTGGCGATAGAAGGAGCAGTGGTTCTGGTGAGTGTGGTGTGGCGTAGAGAAAAAGGGGAGCGATGAATCAGAGGATGATGATTCGGATGAGGATGGGGATGGGGCGGGTTCACTTTTGCTTGCATCCTGATGATGCATGCCTGGCCACAGAAGGAGCACTGCTGCTGATGAGTGTGGTTTCAAGCTATTTCTCCTTTTCTCCAACCAACAACCTCTGAATGTGTGGGCTGCTAACGAGAGGTCGCCTCGCCACCATCCTTCTTCATCTGTTCAGCACTCAACTCTCCCGCCCCCTCTCCCTCCTCTCTTCTACTCTCCCGCCCCCTCTCCCTCTTTACTCTCCCGCCCCCTCTCCCTCTTTACTCTCCCGCCCCCTCTCCCTCTTTACTCTCCCGCCCCCTCTCCCTCTTTACTCTCCCGCCCCCTCTCCCTCTTTTCTCTCCCGCCCCCTCTCCCTCTTTAATCTCCCGCCCCCTCTCCCTCTTTTCTCTCCTTTCCTCCTTGTTCCCTTTCTCGTTTCTCTCAGTCTGAGTGCCTGGGCCGCCGAAGAGAGATCGCAGCCATCCTCTTCACCTCTCATTTTGTCTCCAGATTCATCGTTGTAAGTCAAGTCATCTCGCATTCGACATGCTTTCCCTCCACACCATTTTTTAGAAGTGTACTGACTGAGACGTCTGAAACACCATACTCTTCCCCTCCCAATTCGTCTCCAGTCCAGATTCATCATTGTAAGTCAGCTCCCATCTCCAAAATCGCTATTCTCCTATCGCCCACTCCTGCTGCTCTTCCAATCCCTCCCCGTCCTTTCCCACGCTGGCACCCTGGCGCCCACCGTTCCTCCTCCCCATTCCATGACACCTGCCTACACTGTCCAGAAACCGAGATTCGATACAAATTCTTCCGTCTCCTTGTGCTCCTGCTCTATCTCCCACGTGCCCCCCTCTCTGGCACCTCCCCCCAGGACACCTGCTTGCACTGCCCAGAAACTGAGATTCGATACAAGTTCGCAGAGCTCTTTCTTCACATAAGGTGCTGCTTGATTTGCTTTGGTCCACAGTGTGTGTATGTGTTAGAAATAGGCTGTCAACAATTTGTGTACTCTATTTTTATATGCTGTAGGTTATTTGTGGGTTGGGTGTAGATTTGTAATCCCAACCCTAAACCCTAAACCCATAATCCAACAAATCTGCCAACTCACCAATTGGAGATTTGCTAGGATTCCCATCCCATCCTTTCCCTAGCCTTGCCCAACCCAACCTCGTTTGTACTTAAGGCCTATTGCCTTCTATTCTAATCAGTCAGTTGAAGCTCCATTTCTATCAGTATGTACTATGCGACTTGTGAAGTGAGTCAAAATAGGGTTTGTGTATTCTGCGTGACATCAGCTGTTGTGTCTCGTTAAAGTGTGTGTGTGTGTGTGTGTGTGTGTGTGTGTGTGTGTGTGTGTGTGTGTGTGTGTGTGTGTGTGTGTGAGTGTGTGTGTGTGTGTTGCTGTTTTACAGTTCTACTCTTAGTTCTATTTAGTGTATTCACGCCACGTCTTGTTGCATATGTAACCATTCTCCTCCTCTGCTCGTCTTGTGTGCTCCCATTACCCCGTCCACCCATCCTCCCATCAGCTTGGAGAAGTGGCCGCCCCTTCCTTCCTCCACCACACAGCCTTCAGCACCACCAGTCGCACCAGCCTCCACAGCACTACTATCAGCAGCAGCAGCAACAGCATCAGGAGCAGCAGCAGCATTGTCATCAAGAGCAGCAGCAGCGACAGGACAGGCTGGTGCCACTCTCGGCGTCCCAGGCCTTACTGCGCGTCCCTTCACCTCCATTCACTCCTGCATCTTTCATTCCCTCGCCTCGGCCCGCGCTGCTGCTGACAAGCAACCGAAACACAACAGACCAGTGAGTGCACAACCAAGCAGTGAAGAGCGGTGAGAAGCGGTGGAGTGGTGGACAGGAGCGTTAAAGCAATGCTCTTGCTAATTTTGCAGTGGAGGGGACACCTCCTTCCAAGCAGTCTCTTCATCCCTCTATCCTCTCCTCTCAACCCCACGTCTCTCATCATCCCCCCTTCTCTCACCCACACATCTCTCATCCCTCCTCTCATCCCTCCTTCTCTCATCCCTCCTCTCATCCCTCCTTCTCTCATCCCCCCTTCTCTCATCCCCCCTTCTCTCGACCCCTCCAGTACTGGGAGGGAGCAGCTACGCAAGGTGGTGCATCCGCTGGTTGCTCCTATGCGTCATATTTCCTCTGTTGACGTCCCTCTATCCCTCTCTTATCCCCTCTTACCCTACCCTCCCCCTCCTCCAGTACTGGGAGTTGCTGTGCAATGTGGTGCAGGGGGTGTATCTTAGAGACGAGGAGGAAGCTGTCAGGAAGCTTCTGGACGAGGAGATTCGCTGGCTGCAGCACGTGACATGGGGAATGGACGGCAGGGAAGAGGTGAGAAGAGAGAATGTGAGGGGAGAGGAGTCTAGTTCTGAGGCGCCTCAAACTGTGACTTGGCGAATAAATAGCAGGGAGGATATGAGAAGAGAGAATGAGGACGTGAGGGGAGAGGAGGGGTTGGGAGAGGAGGTGAGGGGAGAGGAGGCGAGGGGGAGAGGAGGCGAGGGGGAGAGGAGAGGAGGTGAGGGAGAGAGGAGGTGAGGGAGGGAGGAGGTGAGGAGAGTGAGAGGAGGTGTGAGGATGGAGGGGGAAGAGCAGGAGATTAAATATGTCGAGAGGAAAGAGTGCAGAGCTGAGTTACACACACTGTTGTTTTGTTACACACACATTAAGTTTTGAGATGTCTAAAACCGTTGTTTTCTTACACACATTTCAAAAAACTAACTCGTCTCAAGTGGGATGTCCATCAATTTTTCCTCCGCTTTTCACCTCCTCCGCTTTTCACCTCCTTCTCTTTCTCACCTCCTCCGCTTTTCACCTCCTCCTCTTTCTCACCTCCTCCGCTTTTCACCTCCTCCTCTTTCTCACCTCCTCCTCTTTTCACCTCCTCCTCTTTCTCACCTCCTCCTCTTTTCACCTCCTCTCTCCTTTTCCCAGCTGCTAAAGGCCCATTTGCTGCTGCTCTAAGTGCCCGTGGAGGTGCGGGGGTGCTCTGTTCACTCTTAACAGAACTCACCTTAGTCCTTCTGTTTTCTTGCCACACCCCAGCTGCTCGAGGGCCATCTGCTGCTGCTCAAAGTGCTTGTTGAGGTGCTGGAGTGTCGTTCCGTCGTGGCCTGCTCTCCACCCCACGGCCATGGGCTCTTGCACCTGGTACGCTTCGCCTTGGGGGAGGTGGGAAGATTTTTTTTAGATTTGTTTGGAATACCCCTGCTCTCCAACCCACGACCATGGGCTGCTGCACCTGGTGCACTTTGTGTTGGGGAGGCGGGAGGAGGTGGAGGGGTAGGATGAAATTTCCAAAAAAATGGCTAAGCCAACAGTTTCACTTGACTCAAAAGCAGGACTAATGCATGATTCCACCCATCGACAGACAGAAGATGTTTCTGTTCTTCTTACCACCAGCCATGTTTCTGCAGTTTCATCAATTTGTTTCCATTGACTCTTATCCATTGTAGCACCCCGTTTCTCGCTCCCGCCTACCTCCCCCTCACCCCCCCGGCCCCCACAGCTCATCACTCGCTGCCTCTTCCCCGAGTGGTTGGTGGTCGTTCCAAGCCACCACCAACAACAACAACAACCGCCACAGCAGCAGCATCACCACCACCACCACCAACTACAACAACAACACCACCACCACCAACAGCAGCAGCCGTCTGGCGAATCCTCTCCTCCCACGACCTGGGGCCTTCTTTCTGCCAGCCCCCACGATGCTGCAGTCTTCCGCCCTCTCTGCTCCTCCTTGCCCTCCCGCAACGCTGCCTTCACTCTCCTCCTCGCCCTCTGTGCCAAGGTGCATGTGTGCATGCATGTGTGCATGCATGTGTGCATGCGTGTGTGCGTGCATGCGTGTGTGCGTGCATGTGTGTGTGCGTGCGTGCGTGTGTGCGTGCGTGTGTGTGTGTGTGTACGTGTGTGCGTGCTTGCATGGGTGTGTGTATATGTGTGCATGCGTGTGAGCGTGCATGCGTGTGTGCATGCATGCGTGCGTGTGTGCGTGTGTGCGTGTGTGCGTGTGTGCGTGCTTGCATGTGTGTGTGTATGTGTGTGCATGCGTGTGTGCGTGCGTGTCTGCGTGCGTGTGCGCGCGTGTGCGTGTGTGCATGCGTGGGTGCGTGCATGCGTGCGTGTGTGTGTAGCTGTTGAAGTTGATTTCTTCTATTATGCGACTCAAAGGCCCCTTTCGCTCACCCGTCTCTCCTCCACTGCCCTGATGCTTCACCGCTGCACTGCGCCTCAGTGGAGCTTTAAGATGTGTCGCAACACTCCCCTGGTCGCCTGTTATCCTTCCTTCCACCCTCTCTCCTCCACACAGACCCCTGAAGCCTTGAGAGAGCTCGCCTCGCTGCTGCTGCCGCTGCACTTTGCCTCTGTGGAGCATGAGTTGCCATCATGGGAGTACCTCCCCAGCTGCGCCCCTAGGCCGCGGGCAGGCTATGCGGGTCTCAAGAACGCAGGTACTTTGCCTTGCTTTGCCTTACCGTCTCAGACTAGCACACCTTGCTACTCCTCGTGAATCTCGCTGCACTTTGCCTTGCTGGAGCACGAGTTACCATCATGGGAGTACCTCCCCAGCTGCGCCCCCCGGCCGCGGGTGGGATATGCAGGCCTCAAAAACGCAGGTGCATGGCAATATGTATGTGCAGGAAAATATGGATTCGAGCCGCAGCAAGCGTAGGGTCTCCTCAAAATTCTTGACTAACAGTTTGGAGTACTTGAGTGGAAAAGGGGTAGAATCAGGACTTGGTAAGTCCAACTTCAGTAAAGATCGTATGCGAACGCGTTTCGGTCGTGAGGCCTTCGTCAGGGCTGTAGGATTATGCAATATGTATGTATGTAGGCCTTGCATGCTCTCAGACCTTGCTGCTGCTACTGCTGCTGCTGCCGCTGCACTTTGCCTTGGTGTAGCATGAGTTGCCATCATGGGATTACCTCCCTAGCTGCACTCCTAGGCCTCGTGCTGGCTACTCTGGGCTAAAAAACGCAGGTACGACTTGCATGCGTTGCGTCAAGACTAGCACAGCTCACTGCTGCTGCCGCTGCACTTCGCCTCGCTGGAGCACGATTTGCCATCGTGGGAGTACATCCCTAGTTGCGCACCTAGGCCTCGTGTGGGCTACTCTGAGCTTAAGAATGCAGGTGTGTGGCAAGACGAGCAGACCTTGCTGCTGCCGCTGCACTTTGCCTTTATGGAGCACGACTTGCCATCATGGGAGTACCTCCTCAGATGCGCCGCTAGGCTGCGGGCGGGATATTCGGGTCTCAAGAACGCAGGTATAATGTGCAGGAATGCATACACGTCTTGCATGCGCGTCTTGCATGCGCGTCTTGCATGCACGTCTTGCATGCACGTCTTGCATGCACGTCTTGCATGCACGTCTTGCATGCACGTCTTGCATGCACGTCTTGCATGCATTGCGTCAAGCCTAGCATTCCTTGTTGCTGCCGCTGCCTCTGTTTCCCTTTCCCACCTCATCCCTGCTTCCCCTGCTTCCCGCTCACCAGGAGCCACATGACACATGGCAGTGTGTTTCTTTTCTAGGAGCTCACCATGCTCCCCAATCTGCCTCTTTAGTCAACGCAGTAACTTATTTTCCCTTTCTATTTGATCCTCCTGTCTCCCCCCTCAGGAGCCACGTGCTACATGAACAGCGTCTTCCAGCAGCTCTTCATGCAGCCCCAAGTGCGCCAGGCCCTCCTTGCCTTCCCTGAAACGCCCGAGTCCGACCGGCCACTATCTGTGATCTATCAAGTGCAGGTAATGTGTGGGACTTATGCCTTCTACTGGGACAGGCTATTGAGGGATACAGATAGCATCCGCTGCAATGCACTGTGCTGCCATTCCCTCTGTTTCTGTTATGAATTCTCAAAAGCGACACAAACGTGACGTGATATACAGGCGATGACACATGATCCGTTCCCTTGCCTCCCTTCCTCTCGTCCTGTCATCTCCTCTTTTTCCCTTCTCTTGTTTTATGCTCTCCTCTCCCCTCCTCTCCCCTCTCATCCACTGCAGGCAATCTTCAGCTATCTGCTAGCTCGTTGTCCCGACTACTTTGTCCCAGAGGGCTTTGGGGATGCCTTTCGGGACTACGATGGGCAGCCGATGAACCTGAGGGAGCACCAGGACGCGTTTGAGTTCTTCAACCGCCTTCATTCCGAATTGCCCATTCCTCCTCTCTTTTGCAGGTCATCTTCAGCTATTTGCTAGCAGGCTGTCCTGACTACTTCGTGCCAGAGGGCTTCTGGGATGCCTTCAGGGACTACGATGGGCAGCCGGTGAATCTGAGGGAGCACCAGGACGCGTTTGAGTTCTTCAACCGCCTCTATGATTCGCTGGATGAGAGCATGAAGGCACAGCGGCACTCTCCTACTCTCACTTCCATTTTTGGAGGGGCCTTTGCTCAGCAGGTGAGTGGTGTATCAGGTGTGGTGCGGTGCGGTGTGGTCTGATACCGTGGTACTCTGACTTGCGAATACACAGTGGCCATCATGAGTTCTTCAACCGCCTCTATGACTTCTATCTTTGGTGGCGCGTTCGCTCAACAGGTGCGTGGTGTGGTGCGGTACGGTGCAGTGCGGTGGTGCTGTGATTGGCCAGTACGCACGTGGCCATTGTGAGTTCTTCAACCGCATCTACGACTCGCTGGATGAGAGCATGAAGGCGCAGAGACACTCCCCCACGCTTACCTCCATAGTCGGGGAAGCTTTTGCCCAGCAGGTGCGTGTGTGAAAGTAGTAGACCGAGGAGCATGCATGTGTTTCGTATGGGTGTGAATGGTTGAGGTTCTTCAATCGCCTCTACGGCTCGCTGGATGAGAGCATGAAGGCGCAGAGACACTCTCCTACCTACCCTCACGTCCATTTTCGGGGGTGTCTTCGCTCAGCAGGTGAGTGGTGCGGATTGGTGTGTGGTGTGGTGTGGTGTGGTGTGGTGTGGTGGTGGTAGTCTGACTGGTAATGAGTACACGCGTGGCCATCTTGAGGCTCAAGACTTGAGCTCCTCAACTTCCTCCATTCGTTGGATGAAATGAGGGCATCAATCAAGGGCGTGGTGTCAATCCCCTACCCTCACCTCAGTCTTTGAGGATGCCTCTGCCCAGCAGGTGAATGGTGTGTGGTGTAGTATGGTGGGGTGGGATGGGTTGGGTGTGGTGTGGTATGGTGTGGTATGGTGTGGTGTGATGTGGTGTGATGCCTGTCACCTCCCCTATTCTCCCTACCACAGTTCCCCGTCCCCACTTCCCACCACCCACCCCCGCCCTTCCCTCCCCTGCTGCAGATCATCTGTCGCGGTTGCCCCCACCGCAGTGAGAGGGAGGAGCCATTTGCAGCAGTGAGTGTGGACGTGAAGGGGAAGCGCGGCCTGCACGAGTCACTAGAGGCTTATTCCCCCCCTTAATCACTAGAGACGCATCTCCCTCATTCCCTCCCTTCCCTTCCCTCTTTTCCCTGCTGCAGGCCGCAGTGAGAGGGAGGAGCCATTTGCAGCAGTGAGTGTGGACGTGAAGGGGAAGCGCGGCCTGCACGAGTCACTAGAGGATTATTCCCCCCCTTAATCACTAGAGACGCATCTCCCTCATTCCCTCCCTTCCCTTCCCTCTTTTCCCTGCTGCAGATCATCTGTCGCGGTTGCCCCCATCGCAGTGAGAGGGAGGAGCCATTTGCAGCAGTGAGTGTGGACGTGAAGGGGAAGCGCGGGCTGCAGGAGTCGCTAGAGGCGTTTGTGCAGGGCGACTTGCTCGAGGCAGATAACGCCTACTTCTGTGGGCAGTGCGGCAAGAAGGTGAGCAGCAGCAGGGGGTGTGGTGGTGAGTCGATCGATTCCATAGGCCGCCTGCCACAATGCCTGGATTAGATTGCCTACTACTGCTGGGCAAAGGGGGCGTGCAGGAGTCGCTAGAGGCGTTTGTGCAAGGGGGCCTGCTGGAGGCAGATAACGCCTACTTCCGTGGGCAGTGCGGCAAGAAGGTGAGTGAGTGGCAGCAGGGGTTGTGGTTTGTGGGTGAACAGTGCAGTGCAGACTGCCACAATGCGTGGTTACAGGTGGTCCAGGGTCACTGCAATGTTGGAGTCAGTTTTGAGAATTCCCACAAGTCATGGCCCTGTTAAAAGCAGATGACGCACAGCAAGGTCCCCCTGCCTGCCCTGCTGGGAGAGAAATGATATGACAGACACGCAGGTGCATTGTTGCCGGGCAATGTCCATATCTTTTTGTTGGCAGTGCAGCAACAAGGTGTTCGGGACACCAACAACAAGCATCGATGTGTTCGTTTGCCCCTCGTTTTGTCCATACGACTTGAACAGGTGGACGCGTTGAAACGTGCATGCATCAAGACCCTGCCATCCACCCTGATAATTCATCTGAAGCGCTTCGACTTTGACTACGAGACAATACAGCGGCTGAAGCTGAAGGAGGACCTCTTCTCTCTGCCCTTGCCCCTTACTCCACCTTCCAACACCTCCGTTGCCCCCTCTTTCTTCTCCCTGGCAGGTGGATGCATTAAAGCGTGCGTGCATCAAGACCCTGCCGTCCACCCTGATAATCCACCTGAAGCGCTTTGACTTTGACTATGAGACGATGCAGCGGCTGAAGCTGAAGGACCGATTCACCTTCCCGCTCTCTCTCAACATGCGACCCTTCACCCGGGAGGGACTTGCTCAGAAGGAAAGAGAGCAGGGGCGGGGGCGGGTAGGGGGTGCAGATAGGAAGGAGGAGGGGAGGGAAGAGGGGACGGAGGAGGGGAGGGATAGAGGGGAGGGGGAGGAGAGGGCGCAGGGGAGGGGGGAGGAGGAGGGGAAAGGAGGGAAAGGGGTTGGAGAGGTTAGGAATGAAGGGGGTGCGGAGGAGAAGGGAGGTGAAGGTGGGGAGGAGAGGAGTGATGGGTATTACGAGTATAGCCTGGTAGGGGTGGTGGTGCATTCAGGGACGGCGTTTGCAGGACATTATTACTCGTACATCAAGGAGAGGAGCGGCGACTCTCCGCTGCATCACAGCCGTCCATCTCAATCTGTGCGGTCAAAGTGAGTCAAGCGGCGGGGCAGTGGGTGAGACAAAGGCTGAGCGAGTCAACGTGGGTCAAGCAGAGTTGCATTGGATCAGACAAAGTCAAAGCGGGTCAAAGGGATGTGTGAGTGGGGGAAAGCAAGGGAAAGAGAGTCAAACTAAGTCGAAAAGAGCGGTGGCATCAGAAGGGATGGCGGCGGCCTTTCCTCGTGTAAAGGCCATTCCTCGGTGACGTCTCAAGCATGTGTGAAGAAATGAGCTCACTTCCACCCCCCTGTTGTGTGCACATGCAGGCAACGGTGGGTGGTTGTGCTTCGATGACAAGCAGGTGGAGGCGCACGATGTGTGAGAGACAGCTGGAGAAGGCCGGGCCAGGCCAGCAGTTACACTTTGCATGCACTTACACTCATGCCATGCCAACCCCCGTGTGCGTGCGTGCAGGCAGCGGTGGGTGGCTGTGCTTCGATGACAAGCGAGCGGAGGCGCATGACGTGAGGGAGCTGGAGAAGGCCCAAGTTTTTGAGTCACCAAGAGGCTCCACTCATACCTTCACATGCACTTGTGCATGTGGCCCGGCACTTGTGCCGCCCGCGTCCCTCTGTGTTCATGCAGGCAGCGGTGGCTGTGCTTTGACGACAAGCGAGTGGAGGCGTACGATGTGAGGGAGCTGGAGAAGGACTGCTTCGGAGGGAAGTACTCCGCTGAGGTGTACGACAACCTCATCAAGACCACGTCACCTCAGGTGAGTCAATAACTGTCGTTGCTTCGTAGGGAGGGAGGTACTCCGCTGAGGTTGCTTCGGAGGGAAGTACTCCGCTGAGGTGTATGACAACCTCATTAAGACCACGTCGCCTCAGGTGAGTCAATAACTGACGTTGCTTCGTAGGGAGGGAAGTACTCCGCTGAGGTTGCTTCGGAGGGAAGTACTCTGCTGAGGTGTATGACAACCTCATTAAGACCACGTCGCCTCAGGTGAGTCAATAACTGACGTTGCTTCGTAGGGAGGGAAGTACTCCGCTGAGGTTGCTTCGGAGGGAAGTACTCCGCTGAGGTGTATGACAACCTCATTAAGACCACGTCGCCTCAGGTGAGTCAATAACTGACGTTGCTTCGTAGGGAGGGAAGTACTCCGCTGAGGTTGCTTCGGAGGGAAGTACTCCGCTGAGGTGTATGACAACCTCATTAAGACCACGTCGCCTCAGGTGAGTCAATAACTGTCGTTGCTTCGTAGGGAGGGAAGTACTCCGCTGAGGTTGCTTCGGAGGGAAGTATTCCGCTGAGGTTGCTTCGGAGGGAAGTACTCCGCTGAGGTGTATGACAACCTCATTAAGACCACGTCGCCTCAGGTGAGTCAATAACTGTCGTTGCTTCGTAGGGAGGGAAGTACTCCGCTGAGGTTGCTTCGGAGGGAAGTACTCCGCTGAGGTGTATGACAACCTCATTAAGACCACGTCGCCTCAGGTGAGTCAATAACTGTTGTTGCTTCGTAGGGAGGGAAGTACTCCGCTGAGGTTGCTTCGGAGGGAAGTACTCCGCTGAGGTTGCTTCGGAGGGAAGTACTCCACTGAGGTGTATGACAAACTCATTAAGACCACGTCGCCTCAGGTGTGTGATGTTTGGCGAGAAAGTTTTGTGTTCTTCTGTACACTAGCAAGCAAGCAAGGGAAGAGGTTCGCTGAGGTCTATGACAACCTCGTCAAAACCACATCGCCTCAGGTATTTAATGTCTGATGAAGAGCTTTTTTTTATTCACCTTCACAGGCTAGCAAGGGAAAGTGACCGCCACCGGCTACTGAAAGTGTATGCTGAGTCCTGCCATGCCATGCCCTGCACCTCGTTTCCTTTTTGGGCTGGCCGTACCCCCATGTGAGTTTGACCCCCCCAACAGCACCTGCGTGCCCTCTTTTACAGAAAGATGTCCTTGTCACTGCTGCAGCTGCAGTGGGTACACACTCTTTCTCTTCTCTTGTTGACGTGTGCCGTGCCGCCTCACGACTGCCTGTTTCCCCCTCACAGGAGTTTGACCGGCCCAACAGCGCATACATGCTCTTCTATGAGCGAAACGCCCCCACCACTGCTGCTGGCGCCAGCACCACCAGTTCTGCCCCTAAGTCTGCCGATACCCCTGCCACCACCGCTGCCACCAGTGGTGCTGCCAATACAGCTGCAACTGCGGCAGGCCTGAGGGCAACAGTAGAGGCGCCAGCAGCTGCAGCCGCAGCAGAGACAGCAGCAGGCGCCCCAACCACCACCACCACTGCCACCACCATCGTCCCATGCACAGCAGCAGAGGAGAGGGCGGGTGGAGCAGTGGAGCCTTACAGCCTCCCCCCCAGCATACACCACTGCGTGTGGCAAGACAACCTCAGGTAGGGACAGGACAACCTCAGGTAGGGGAGAAGGGAATCCGGCAGGTAGGGGAGAAGGGAATCCGGCAGGTAGGGGAGAAGGGAATCCGGCAGGTAGGGGAGAAGGGAATCCGGCAGGTAGGGGAGAAGGGAATCCGGCAGGTAGGGGAGAAGGGAATCCGGCAGGTAGGGGAGAAGGGAATCCGGCAGGTAGGGGAGAAGGGAATCCGGCAGGTAGATCAAAAGTAGAAGTTGCTGCTGCTATTGGCTCACCTCAAACCGGATCTCATCCATATCCCTCCCCTCGAGCTACTTCCCCCCCCCCCCCCCCCGATCTATCCGTTTCTCAGGTTTCAGCATCATTGGTCACATCTGCTCTCCCCCAGACGTACCTCCCCCCACATCTATCCTGTCCACCTCTTGCTGTCTGCGCGGCGCTTGAAACAAAACACATTTATCCTTTCCCATCTTCCCCTCCTCCTCCACCCGTCCGTGTGCGTTGCAGTGCAGATTCAAGCTGCAACAGCCGCAGTGCAAATCCGCTATTGTTTTTTAGCGAGGCACCTTCAAACAAGCTCCTGTCCTTCTCCTGCTCCTCTATCTATCCGCGTGCGTGGCAGGCTTACAGTAGGAGTCACGGCCGTTGAACCAAATGTACTTTCACTTGAGCTATGCGTGGTTGATGCACCCCAAACAAACGCCCTTCCCCCCCCCCCCCGCCCTCTTCCATTCCTTTGTCTATCTGTGGGTGCATGGCAGGTTCCAGCAGGAGTCGCGGCTGTTGGATCAGACCTACTTCCGCTTCCTGCTGCAGCTCGCACGGGTCAACCTCGACGACTTCCAAATGTCAGTTCGATTCGACCCACCTCCCCTTTACTTGGTCTTCCCATTCCATCTTCGTCGCCATCTGTTTCCTGCCCAACATGTCGCGAGAAAGACGATGTTCGAGGCACTTCAAGAGTTTTACTCTCATACTCCATTGCTCTCCTCCACCAGCAGGTGCCACGATTGAGGCAAGATGGCGGTATTGTCAGTGTCAGAAGCAAGGGCAGGCGGGGTGAAGGCGTCACCACAGCGCAGCGAAGCACTGAGGGTGGAGCGAGCAGCAGAGGAGATTTGCCAGGGAGCGGTGGGCTTTAACTGGTCTCACTCAGAGGCTATCTCTTACCACTCACACCTGCCTTCCCACAACTACCAGGTGCCACGATCGAGGGAAAATGGCAGCCCTGTCAGATGCGAGGGCAGGAGGGGTGAAGGCATCACCACAGCGCAGCGAAGCACTGCGGGTGGAGCGAGCAGCAGAAGAGACTGCAGAGGCGCTGCTGTCGCTGTTGCTGCCATTCCTCTTCCGTGTCTACCTGAGAGCGCATGCCAGCCTAAGGACAGAAGATCCTCTCTGGACGGTAAGAGGGCGATGAGACGGAATAGAGGGGATGTTACCTGTTCTTTCTGCTGCTGCCATTCCTCTTCTGCGTTTTCCTGAGAGCACATACCAGCCTAAGAACAAAGGATCCTCTCTGGACGGTAAGAGGCCAATGTGGGGGGAGAGAATTGATTAGTATAGAGGGAACGTTTCTCCTTTCAACGGCGGCTGCTGCTGCCGCCGCCGCCGCCGCCGCCGCCACCGCCGCCGCCGTTCCTCTTCTGCGTCTACTTGTGCGCGCATGCCAGCCCAGACAGAGAATCCTCTCTGGACCATAAGAGGGTGATGGTTAGGGACAGGATAGAAGAGAGGGAATGTTTTCCCTTTCGTCTGCATCTGCTGCCGCTACCATTCCGCTTCCGTATCTACTTCCTACCTCACTTGCAAGTGCATGCCAGCCAACCTCAGAACAGAAGATCCTCATTAGTTGGTGAGTGGAAGATGGGGGTTGGTAGATGCATGGTTGGGGCAACACTCCCCGCTCTCCCCCTTCACGCCGTCTTCGTTTCATGATTCCATCCCCCTCAACGCATCACATCACTGTCAGAAAACTGTAACGTTCACTCCAGTACTATGACAGAGGCTGAGGAGAAGTGGAGGTTCTATGTACAGATGGAACACCCCCACCTCTCCTCAACCTCTGTCATAGGACTGGAGTGAACGCTACAGTTTTCTGACAGCTGTCGGAATCCCCAGGGCGTGCTGTCGCGTGTCCTGAACGCTAATAGCACAGCCTGTCGCCTCTTCAACGTTCAACACTCTCATGCCCCCTCTCGTGGTTCCATCCTCCAATGCATCACATCACACCACACCACACCACACCACACCAGAATGTGCTGTCGCGGTTGCTGGACGCCAGCATCACAGCCTGTCGCCTCTTCAACGCCAGGCTGGCGAGCAACACTCTGATATGTGTCTTGTTGGCTCAACTCACTCCTCTCCCCTCGCACATTCTCCTCATCCCATTGCAATGCCCCACAGGACGTGCTATCTCGCATGCTCGACGCTAACAGCACAGCCTGTCGCCTCTTCAATGCGCGCATGGCGGGCAACAGGCGGTGGCTCTTGCACTTCCTCCTCAAGTGCCCCATCAATGCCATATCCGTGGTATGTGCTCTCCACATGCTTTGCTTTCCCGTAGGTCAATGCACAATCTGCCTTTCCCATCTCAGGGTGACGTTATTAGCAGATTTGCTGATAACCAGGTGTCACATCGCTTCCAGGACTTGTTTCAATGCAACCCCACCCCTCTCTCCACCTCCCCCTTGCCTCCTTCGTTTCTCCTTTCCACCTGACCGTAGCAGACCTGCTGGTTACCGGCTGCAACATTATTTGCAGCAACTCAAAGCACCTCCTTCCACCTCGCACCTCCCCTTGCTCTCCCTCCCCCTTTTTCCACCCGGCTGTTTTTGCGGACCTGCTAATAACCGCCTGCGACAGCACTTTGAGATGTGTCCCTGCCCCTTTCCCCACCTGTCCTGTCCCCACCTTTCCCCCTCTTTTTCCCTCTCCCCCCCTCCCCTCTTGTCCCCGCGCTTTCCCCCTTTCCACCAGGCTGTAGCGGATCTGCTGGTAACCAGCTGCCACAGTGCCACGTGCTTCGTCAACGCACGTTCGCTTGCGCCCACTGCTGCAGTTACTGCTGCTGCTGCTGCTGCTGCAATTGGCGGGGCTCTTGAAGGTTCGGCAGTGGATGCTGGGGCCTCTGGGGCAGGAGGGGCGGCAGGTGCATCGGGGGAAGATGCATTGAATGTGGACGCGTTGATTGATTCGCTGGTGTCGCTGCTGAGGGACGCCAGTGGCCCCTCATGCCACGTTGACAATGTGAGTGACCTGCTGGCTGGCAGTGCTACTTACCTGGTTACTTCTTGTTACCCGAATTACTTCTGGTTGGTTACCCAAATTCTGGGTGGCACTGGTTAGTTACGCATTTCTTCCAGGCAAAATTTGTTGCTTTTTGAGTCGATTTTTGAGTCGACTCAAAAATCGACTGGTTACGCATTTCTTCCCTCAGCAAAATGTGTTGCTTTGGAGACGCTTCAAACACGGTTCGGTTACGCTTTTCTAGACGAAACTGCTTGTTGCGAGTACCTGACTTATGAAGGTCTTTCCTCAACTCTCACCTTCAACTCTCACCTTCAACTCTCACCTTCAACTCTCACCTTCAACTCTCACCTTCAACTCTCCCCTTCAACTCTCACCTTCAACTCTCACCTTCAACTCTCCCCTTCAACTCTCACCTTCAACTCTCACCTTCAACTCTCACCTTCAACTCTCACCTTCAACTCTCACCTTCAACTCTCACCTTCAACTCTCACCTTCAACTCTCACCTTCAACTCTCACCTTCAACTCTCACCTTCAACTCTCACCTTCAACTCTCCCCTTCAACTCTCACCTTCAACTCTCACCTTCAACTCTTCCCTTCAACTCTCACCTTCAACTCTCACCTTCAACTCTCACCTTCAACTCTCACCTTCAACTCTCACCTTCAACTCTCACCTTCAACTCTCACCTTCAACTCTCACCTTCAACTCTCACCTTCAACTCTCACCTTCAACTCTCACCTTCAACTCTCCCCTTCAACTCTCACCTTCAACTCTCCCCTTCAACTCTCACCTTCAACTCTCACCTTCAACTCTCACCTTCAACTCTCACCTTCAACTCTCCCCTTCAACTCTCACCTTCAACTCTCCCCTTCAACTCTCACCTTCAACTCTCACCTTCAACTCTCCCCTTCAACTCTCACCTTCTGCTCCCCTCTCCCCTCCGCACCCCTCCCGGAGCTGTGCATCATCTTTGTTAGATATGGCCGCATCAGCCTTTTTGAGACCTCATAAAAATGTTTTCCATCCCCTCCCCTTCCCTCTCTCCAGCTCTGCAGCATATTGGTGGAGTATGCACGCATTGGCCCCACGCAATCCCTCCCCGTCATCCAACCCTTGAACTTCTTGCTTGTGCCTGACTCTGCTCTCATCTCATTTCCCCTTCCCTCCGCCCCCCAGCTCTGCAGCATATTGGTGGCGTATGCACGCATTGGCCCCACGCAATCCCTCCCCGTCATCCAACCCTTGAACTTCTTGCTTGTGCCTGACTCTGCTCTCATCTCATTTCCCCTTCCCTCCGCCCCCCAGCTCTGCAACATATTGGTGGAGTATGCACGCATTGGCCCCACGCAATCCCTCCCCGTCATCCAACCCTTGAACTTCTTGCTTGTGCCTGACTCTGCTCTCATCTCATTTCCCCTTCCCTCCGCCCCCCAGCTCTGCAGCAAATTGGTGGAGTATGCACGCATTGGCCCCACGCAATCCCTCCCCGTCATCCAACCCTTGAACTTCTTGCTTGTGCCTGACTCTGCTCTCATCTCATTTCCCCTTCCCTCCGCCCCCCAGCTCTGCAGCATATTGGTAGAGTATGCACGCATCGGCCCCACCCAGCGCCTCTCCCTCATTCGCAGACAGCTGCCTGCCACCTGTGTACGTGTGGAGTGCACGTGCCCTGAGTGCTGGGAGGTGCTGTGAGGTGCTATGAGGTGCTGTGAGGTGCTGTGAGGTGCTGTGAGGTGCTGTGAGTGCTGTGCCTGCCTGGAGTGCTGGGAGTGCTGTGAGGGCATGTGCTTTGAAAGAGAACGCGGAAAGAGTGTGTGCATCGAGTGCTTTTCTCAAGAGTGTGTGCATTGAGTGCTTTTCTCATTGCGCTTTGCTGTGCTGAGCGCCTCTTCTGCCAGCCCATCCACCTTCCTTCCCCCTTGCAGTTTGCCTATTCATATCGAGTGGGCATTGCAGTAGCAGCCAAGTTCCATCTCCCGCCTCTCCACTTCCTCCTCTCCATGCCCATTCGCTCCTGCTACCCCTAGTTTTCCCCCCTCTCTTCTCCAAAAATTTCATTACGCTGCCCCTCTTCCCCTCTTCCCCTCTTCCCCTCTTCCCCTCTTCCCCTCTGCCCCTCTTCCCGGTTGCAGCTTGACTATCTAGACCGAGTGGGGATCGCAGCAGCAGCCAAGCTGCATCTCTCGCCCCTCCACTCCCTCCTCTCCATCCTCGTCCGCTCCTGCTACCCCCGCCCTCCCCCCTCTCGCCGCCCCGTCCCCGCTTCCACCCCTGCATCTGGGGGGAACGAGGGGTGGGATGAGGAGGGGGAAGGGGAAGGGGACGAGGGGGGAGGGGAAGTAAGGGCGCATGTAAGGGGGAGGAGAAAGGGGGAGGGGAGGTCGCATGGGAGGGAGGAGAAGGGCAAGGGGAAGGCAGGGCAAAAAGGGGCAGAGAGGCGGAGGGGGCATGGGGGGGTTTCTGCAGGGGCTGCAGGGGCGGCAGGGGCAGTGGGGGGGGCGGAAGAGGAGGGGGGGGAGGAGGAGGACGCTGGGTTGCAAAATCCGGCTTTTTTTGGCCGGCCGGTGGCAGTGCTGCCACCCCGTGTGGCTCAGCTTGCATCAGACCCTGATTATGTCAATCTGCTGGTTGGTCTTTTCTGTCTGTGCTGTGTGGGATGGTGGTGACGTAACCATGCCATTTTGCCGGTAACTTTTTCCTGGATATGCTGCTTTGGAATGTTGGTGAGGTAAGCATATCAAGTTGACATGTTGGTGAGGTAACGTGTTGGATACTCTGCGTGCTGGCGTGGGATGGACAGAGGGAGGGAAGACTCTCTTGCGCATTTGACTTTTGAGTCGACTCAAAAGTCACCTCAGAGGGAGGGAATACTCTGTTGCGCATTTTTCTGAATGCTCGAGGATCTGCTTTGCTGATAACGTCCTGTCTCTCATATCCCCTATCCTCTTCCCACCCCCCTCGCCCGCTCCCCTTCCCTTCCTTCCCTTCCTTCCCTTCCTTCCCTTCCTTCCCTTCCTTCCCTTCCTTCCCTCCCCCAGGTCACCTCCTATCTGGATAACCACGACGCCATCTCTCTCTCGAATGGACCTTTCATTAGAAAACAGGATTGTTACAGCACACTAAGTTCCTCTACATCTTTTTGGCAACCCACTCCCATCTCCCGTTTCATCTCACCACTCCCATCTCCCGTTTCATCTCACCACTCCCATCTCCCGTTTCATCTCACCACTCCCATCTCCCGTTTCCTCTCACCACTCCCATCTCCCGTTTCATCTCACCACTCCCCTCACCCACCCCCCTCACCCTCTTCCCTTCTTAACCCCCCTTCTCTCCCCCCTCCCCCTCATTTCAGATCACATCCAATCTGGACAACCAAGACACCATCTCTCTCCTCCTCTACATCTCCTACGGCAACGAGAGCGAAAGCATCGTATGTCTCTCCGTCTGTCCTTCCGTTCCTGTCAGCTTATGCGAGGCCAATGGGTTTGCTGCAGCATGTGGCTGTCTCCTTGTAGCATTGCTCCCAACCCTCACCCGCACCGCTCCTTGCCTCACTGCTTTTTCCATCACTGCATTTTCCCACTCCCTCCTCTTTCCACGGGCCTGCCCGTGGTTTGAAAACACGTGCTCCATGAGGTCATGCTCCATGACGTCATGCTCCATGACGTCATGCTCCATGACGTCATGCTCCATGAGGTCATGCGTTTTCTGTAGCGTGCTGCTTTCACGTCCTCATTGTTCGCAAGCCTTTTTCTCTTTCGCCCTGTCGCCCCCTCCCCCCCTCCTCTAACCATTCCCTTCTGTTGGTCCATAAACTCTTCTCCGTGAGGCCATGAGCTCTCTGCAGTGTGCTGCTGTTACATCATGCTTTTGAGTCGACTCAAATGCAGTGTGCTGCTGTTACATCATCCCATTCTTCTCAAGCCGACTTTTGAGTCGACTCAAAAGTCAGCTCTCTGTGGCGTGCAGCTGTGAGCTGTTACATCGTCCCATTCTTCTCAAGCCGACTTTTGAGTCGACTCAAAAGTCAGCTCTCTGTGGCGTGCAGCTGTGAGCTGTTACATCGTCCCATTCTTCTCAAGCCGACTTTTGAGTCGACTCAAAAGTCAGCTCTCTGTGGCGTGCAGCTGTGAGCTGACATCGTCCCATTCTTCTCAAGCCGACTTTTGAGTCGACTCAAAAGTCAGCTCTCTGTGGCGTGCAGCTGTGAGCTGTTACATCATCCCATTCTTCTCAAGCCGACTTTTGAGTCGACTCAAAAGTCAGCTCTCTGTGGCGTGCAGCTGTGAGCTGTTACATCATCCCATTCTTCTCAAGCCTCCCCTCTTCTGCCCTACTCTCCTCTCCGCCATCCATGCCCGAAACTGTGCCTGTCTGTGGTTCCGTAGACCGTGCTCCGCGAGGCCATGAGCTCTCTGCAACGAGCAGCAGTCACGTCGTCTCGTCGCATTCTCTCCCTGCTGCTGCACCTGCTCAAGTTGCCAGATGCCCTTCAAGAGGTATGCAATGCACACACACACACACACGCGCACATGCAGACACACACGCGCACATGCAGACTCACACGCGCACATGCAGACAGACACGCACCCACTACTATCCCCTGGCCCCCTCCCATACTTCTTCTCTCCCTGCTGCTGCACCTGCTCAAGCTTCCAGATGCCCTTCAAGAGGTATGCAATGCACACACAGACACACACGTGCACATGCAGACAGACACGCGCACATGCAGACACACACGCGCACATGCAGACAGACACGCGCACAAAGAGACACACACGCGCACATGCAGACAGACACGCGCACATGCAGACACACACGCGCACATGCAGACACACACGCACACATGCAGACAGACACGCGCACATGCAGACACACACGCGCACATGCAGACAGACACGCACCCACTACTATCCCCTGGCCCCCTCCCATACTTCTTCTCTCCCTGCTGCTGCACCTGCTCAAGCTTCCAGACGCCCTTCAACAGGTATGCAATACACACACTCAGACACAAAAATTCACACGCACACACGCCCGCGCGCCTCCACACACATACACTGAAACCCCTATTCGTTTCACAAGCGTATCTCTCACACACCGAGTCCACGGCCACAGCACCTCCTGTCCCATGCATGTCTAACACTCATTCTGCATCTGTCTGCACATGTGTCCCCACAGGCGTTGCATGGCAGGAATCAGTCTTGAACAGCTGCCAGTTCTTCCACCCAGGAGTTCCTGTCTCACACATTTGTTGCATCTGTCTCTGCACTTGTCTCTGCACTTGTGTCTGCACTTGTCTCTGCACTTGTCTCTGCACTTGTGTCTGCACTTGTCTCTGCACTTGTCTCTGCACTTGTGTCTGCACTTGTCTCTGCACTTGTCTCTGCATGTGGTGCGGCACATGTGTGTCCCCACAGGCGCGCCAGGAGTCAGTGGTGAACGGCTGTCAGTTCTTCCGCCCAGGCGTCTTCGACCTCCTTCTTGCCAAGGTGACTCTCTCCCTTAGCCAGCTAGATTGGCTGCTATGCACCTAATTTGGCTGCCACCACGAGCAAGTGCCCCCTCTGAAGCGCTACACGCTCCTCAAGTTCCTGCTGGCACCAGCGGCCTTCAGCACCATGTCCGACTTCTAGCCCTCAACCCTTCCCCTCCTATCCACCACTCTCGCCATCCCCTTCATCCCCCCCTCCCCCCACCAGCTATTGCTACGCCCTGCTCAAGTTCCTCCTGGCAACAGCGGCCTTCAGCACCATGTCGCGGCGCCACATCGCAATGAGGAGAGCAGACCTGAGCGCCGTGCTGCAGTGGCTGCAGGAGGAGACTGCCTTCCCCTTGACCTACCTTCCACCAACAATCTCCCTCATCCTGACTCCCCTCCTTTCAACCCCTCTTTTTCCTCCCAAATCTCCACCCTTCGGGCCCCCTCCCCCACCTCCCCACACCAGCAAGTATCCCCTCTGAAGCGCTACGCGCTCCTGAAATTCCTCCTGGCAACAGCGGCCTTCAGCACCATGTCACGGCGCCACATTGCAATGAGGAGAGCAGACCTGAGCGCCGTGCTGCAGTGGCTGCAGGAGGAGACTGCCAACGCGCCCGGGCACGACCTGTCCAATGAGGAGCTGCCATCTGGCACGCTGCGCCGCACCGCCACTGTGGATTCAACTATTGCCACAGGGCTGAGCCTGATCAGCCTGCCGCACGAACCCAATGCATGAAGTCAGGTACTGGTAACGTGGTAACAGTGCGGGGTGTGGCGTGTGCTGTGCCGCACTGCCACTGTTGACTCGACCATTGCCACGGGGCTGAGTCTCTTCAGCCTACCGCATGAACCGAATGCGTGAATTCTATCATCAGGATGCTGGTAACATGGTAACTGGGTGGCCTGTGACGTGTGCTGCACTGCACTCCGCTGTGCGGTGTACCATTGCCACGTTGTTGAGTCTCATCAGCCTACCGCACGAGCCAAATGCGTGAAATGTGAGCTGCTGGTAACAGGGTACCGTAATGTAACACCATGGCACCATCGTGACTGAAATGGTGGCTAGTAATGGGTTGTTGGTTGCATCTGAAGTGAGATGCTGGTTACACCTGAACTAAACTGTGCTGCTGTGTTGAAGCGATCTAGTGGCACTGCTTGTCTGCACATTAGCATCAAGCGGTGTTTCTTTTGGCCCAGAGTCTTGTTAGGAGGGAAAGCGCTTGTGAGGTACAGTATTACACTGGTTTATCCTGGTGTTTTCAGCTTGTAGTGTAGTGTATAGCCCATGCTGTGTGGGTGGTTCATTCTAGCATGATATGAAAGACCACAAGATGGGTCTGTACCTAATTGTATGCTCCTGCTGTATGCACTGTCCATATTGGTAGGCAGCTTCTGAACTAAAGCAGGTGCTGAGTGTGACATCCGGGAATGCTGCCTGTACAGGTGATTGTCAAATGTTGTAGCCTATAGTGAGGTTTGTCTTAGGGGGTACAAAACTTAGGGTTAGCTATATGTACCCCAACCAACATCAATGCATCATCCATTCTTCATTTTGACATGGTATCAGTTAGGTTAGGATCCTGTGGGATCCCGTTCCGCCGTTCTCCGTTCGTACCACCCGAGCCTGATCCTAGCTCTCGTTCGTCTCCTTCTCGTTGTTACCGAGCCTAGCGCCGAGCCACGCTCTCGTTCGTATCGTTCCAGCTGTTACCGAGCCTAGCAACGACCCACGCTCTCGTTCGTATCGTTCCAGCTGTTACCGCCCCCCCGTCGCGTCGCCTTCCCCCTGTCCCGTCGCGCCCCCCCTTTCCCCCCGTCGCGTCGCCCTCCCCCTGTCCCGTCGCGCCCGCCCCTTCCCCCCGTCGCGTCGCCCTCCCCCTGTCCCGTCGCACCCGCCCCTTTCCCCCCGTCGCGTCGCCCTCCCCCTGTCCCGTCGCTCCCGCCCTCTCCCCCCGTCGCGTCGCCCGTCCCGCAACGCCTGCCACTGTCGCTCGCGACCGCGCTCGTCGCCGCCGCGCCTGCCGCCGTCGCCCGCCCCCTGCGCGCCTCGCCGCGGCCCCGCCGTCGTCGCCCGCCGCTGCGCGCGTCGCCGCTGCGCCCCCTGCCGTCGCCCGCTGCGCGCGCTGCTGGCCCCTGCTGCCGAGCGCGCTGCCATCGCCCGCCGCTGCGCCCGTTCCCGTTCCCCGCTGCTTAGTCCCCTGTTACCTCCCGCTGTCACGCCCGCTGTGGCGTCCGCTCCTCCCCTGTCCCAGAGTACCGCCGAACCCTAATTTGCCTCTCACCTACTGCTGTCCCCTCCCTCTCCGTTCGCGTTCGTTTTCACTATGGCGACTCAGCGTGTCCTTCGTTTCGACGCTGACGGTAGACCTCTTGATTTTTCCGTCTGGCTTCTTCGTGCTCGCCGTCTGTTAGAGAGTCAGGTCCAGGCAGGCGAGACCCTCTGGGCGCACGCTACTGGTGCCCTACCTGCGCCCCCCGACCCTACGCCTTTAGGACCTGCCCCTGACGACGCCGCTAGAGCCCGCTTTGCCACTCAGCGAGCTGACCAGACGGCTTGGACGTCACGTGACGCTGCGGCCTGCATCGCGCTCAGCAGCCTCCTCCCTGAGTCTGAGGAGGTTCACTTCACTCAGGTTCGCACCGCTGCTGAGTACCTCACTGCGATTAAGGCCCGCTACTCTACTCCCGCTGCTGTCTCTCTTGGCCGCCTGTTCCTCCCGTTCCTGTTTCCTGACCTAGCGTCTTTTGAGCGCTCTGCTGACTTGATCGCTCACCTCCGCTCGCTCGACGCTAGTTACCGCGCTGCTTGCACTGAGGCACAGCTTGCACTGCTTCCTCCCCCTATGGCGATTACTATCTATTTCATCGCCACTAGCCTCCCTGACCGCCTTGCCTCCGTTCGCGACGCGCTTCTGCTGAAGCACCCTAGTGAGCTCACCGTCGAGGTCCTTGAGTCTGCACTCAAGGACGTCGAGAGCAACCTTCGCTCGGTAGCCGCTGCCTCTGGTGCTGTGCCCCCCCCACTCTTCCACGGGTGCACAGTCCCGCAGTTACCCACCTTTACTGCCTCACTTGCCACTGCCGCTACTGACGCGACTGCAGCTGCTGTTACGACTGCGTCGCGGTCCCGCGGTAGGAGTGGCAAGAAAGGCGGTTCTGGTGGTGGTAGTGGAGGTGGAGGCGGAGGTAGTGGAGGTGGCGTTGCGCCTGGCGGCGGTGGAGGTTCAGGGCCTGGAGAGGCGCCTCGTGCAGTGACTGGTGACTCCACTGCGCCTGCTGGTGGTGGCGACGCCCGAGTTCGTCAGTCGCCTCCTGTACTTCCTGCCCCGGTTGGTGGAGCAGCGGCGTGGTACCAGGCTCAGCGTCAGCAGCAGCTTCTGCAGCACCAGCAGCCCCTCTCCTCCCAGCAGCCTCAGCAGCAGCAGCGGCAGCAGCTGGCTCCAGGGTCGGGGCTGCGTCAGACCCAGCGCGGTGCTGCTTACACTCCCTGCACCTACCAGGTTCTGACAGGCACTCGTCGTGGCCACCCTTGTGGCCGGTTTCACCCCCCTGGTCAGTGCTTTGCTCAGCTCACTGACACGGTTCGTTTGGTCTACGGGGTTGGTGCTCCTGCCCCTGACTGGCTGCCTCTTGTTCAGCGTTACGGCTCCGCTCTGTGGGGCATGTCTGCTGAGCAGTTAGTTGATCTGATTGGTAATCCCCATGCTATGTATGCTGTTGTTGACTCTAGTGTTTCTGACTCTGTTTACTCTGGTGTTGTTAGCTTAGGTGCTAGCCTTGCTCAGTTGCCTGTTGCTAGTGTAGGTTCTTGTGTAGACTCTAGTCCAGCGGCTACCTCAGAGGACGGTTCGCTGTCGTTCACGCTGGACTCTGGAGCCTCTCACTGCTTCTTTCGTGACAGCACGACACTTACGCCTCTTCCTGCGCCTGTTTCTGTGGCGCTGGCTGATCCCACTTCGGGACCAGTCACCGCGCGTCACACTACCACCTTGCCGTGTCCGGCTGCTCCTTCTGGGTCTCTCACTGGGTTTCACGTCCCCTCGTTCTCCCAGAACTTGGTGGGCGTGCGACCCCTCGTGAGTCAGCACGTGGGTGTGTGGTTTGAGCCTTCTGGAGAGACTGCGGTGTGTGTTGACGGGGACTCTTACCAGCCCCTCGCCACTTTTGCTGCTGAGCCGGGCTCCGGTCTCTACACTCTTCACACTGGCCCGCGCGCTCAGCAGCGACTGCAGCAGCAGCAGCAGCCGCAGCCGCAGCCACAGCCGCCCCTCCTGCCCCCGGCCCCTGTTTTGCCCCCCGTTCGAGTCCTCGCGTCTCACCAGGTTGCTCCGTCCCCCCAGGTAGCTGTGTCTTGTCAGGTTCCTCCGTCTAGTCCGGTCGCTGCGTCGTGCTCCTGTCGGTCGCTTGCCCACCCCACCGTTTTGTGGCACCACCGGCTGGGGCACCCTTCTCCTCCTCGTCTTCGCGCTATGTCTCGTCAGCGTCTTGTCTTAGGTCTCCCGCGTGTCTTGCCGTCGCTGCCGCCGTCCCTTGCACCACCGTGCGGTCCTTGCGTCGAAGGTAGGCTGCGCGCCACCCCTCACTCCTCCTCCCTTCGTCCGGCCACCGAGCCTTTTGAGACGCTGCACTTGGACGTCTGGGGCCCCTCTCCTCGCCCTGGCCCTGAGCGTGAGCGTTTCTTTTTGGTGGTCGTTGACGACTACTCCCGCTACACCACAGTGTTTCCCCTGGCGAGGAAGTCTGAGGTGACTTCTACGCTGATCAGGTGGTTGCTTACCACCCAGGACACTCGTGGTCGTCGTGTCAGCTGTCTCCACTCCGACCGCGGGGGCGAGTTTCGCTCCGGCATTCTCGCTGGATTCTGTCGCGAACAGGGCATTCGTCAGTCCTGGACGCTTCCGGAGTCCCCACAGCAGAATGGGGTTGCTGAGCGTCGCATAGGCCTGGTCATGGAGATTGCCCGCACCTCCTTGATTACGCCCGTGCCCCCCATTTCCTGTGGCCATACGCGGTCAGGTACGCCGCGCACCAGCTGAACCTCTGGCCACGCGTCTCTCGGCCGGAGGCTTCACCGACCAGTCTTTGGACAGGGTCCCCTGGTGTCGCGTCGAGGTTTCGTGTCTGGGGGTGCTTGGCTCTTGTCCGCGACACCTCCGCGGACAAGCTCTCGCCTCGCGCCGTTGCTTGTGTCTTCCTTGGTTTCCCCGAGGACTCCTCTGACTTCACCTTTTACCACCCTCCCTCTCACCGGTTCTTTGACTCCCGTGACGTCCGTTTCGAGGAGTCCACCCCCTACTACGTCAGGTACCCCAGTCGAGGTCTCCCGGTCCCTCCCCCCCCTCTCTTCCTGACCGCCGCTCCCCCGCCTGCTCCCCCGGTACAGCCTCCCCCCCCTGGTCCAGCCCCGTCTGGTGTGTCTCAGGCTAGCCCTCCCCCTTCGGTAGCCCCCCCTGTACAGCCTCCCTCCCCACAGTCTTCCTCGCCGCCTCCTGCAGGTGCTCCCTCTCGGGAGGTTGGTCCTGCGACTGTCCCTGTACAGGTCTCTGGTTCTGGGGGTGCTGGAGTTGGAGCTGAGCCGCGGGTTGCAGAGGACTCTTGTCTTCCGGGGGCTGGTACTGGTCGTGCGGAGTCTGGGGGTGCTGGTGCGGAGTCTGGGGGTGCTGCGTCTGGGGGTGAGGGTGTCCCTTCGGTTTCTGGAGAGCCTGGGTCTGGAGCTGGTGTTGGTGCTGCCTCTGG